CACCGTTGCCTCCAAATCCATTATATCCACCATCACCTCCTCCATAACTACCTCTGCTGCCACCACCTCCCCCACCATAGCCTCCTCTTCCACCAAAGTTTCCACCACGGCCCAAGTTACCTCCACCACCTCCAAAGTTTCCTCCACGACCCATAAAGTTGCCAGATACACCTCCACGACCTCTTTGTGATCCAGCAGATTGCATTTCTTGTTTAGAAAGGGCCTTTTTCACTTTACACTTATGCCCATTAAGAGTGTGGTATTTTTGAACAATTTTATCAACTGTATCATGATCATCAAAAGTTACAAAAGCAAATCCTCTCTTTTTTCCACTCTGCCTGTCTTCCATAACCTCTATGGTTTCAATCTTGCCATACTTTTCAAAGTAGTCTCTCAAATTATATTCTTCTGTATCTTCTTTAATACCACCAACAAAAATTTTCTTCACTGTTAGATGGGCACCAGGCTTTACAGAATCCTCTCTAGAAACAGCTCTCTTTGGTTCCACTACACTCCCATCAACCTTGTGTGGTCGAGCACACATTGCTGCATCCACCTCTTCAACACAAGAGTAAGTCACAAAACCAAAGCCCCTGGAACGTTTTATTTGGGGGTCTCTCATCACCACACAAACTGTAAGTGTGCCCCATTTCTCAAAATGTTCTCTTAAGCTATCATCTGTAGGTTCAAAGCTCAGACCACCAAGAAACAGTTTTCTCAACTGTTCTGGTTCCTTTGAATCATGGCTCTCCTCCCCCCGGCGGCGGCGGCGGCGATGGCTGGAGTCTTCTCATATTTTTAAAGTGGTCTTGTATTTTTTTAATCCAAAGTAAACTGATTAAAAAATATCCTAAGTACACACTACTTAAGACACTTTTCCAGCAGATTAACTAAATATACCTATTGACTATAATAGCAATAGGATATACCCTAGGAATCATGTCTTATCATTTTCACCTCTGAGAAAACAATCTTAAATGGTAATTCTCCCCCACCTGATATACAAGCACCAAGATGTCAAAAACAACAATAAGAAATGGCAAAAATGGGAATATGCAAGCAAGTAAAGAAATACAGGAAAAAAAGCTTAAAAATTACATTCGTCTATAAAGGACAATGTATTATTCAGTGTCAATAGCAGAATGTCAATCTGAGAGCAACACTATGTAATTAGAGCATATAATGTAGAATGCAATAATATGAATATTCAAAGCTATTATGCTGCCCTCTCAAATTCTATTTTATAGAAAGTAAAAATTTTATATATATACTTTTTATGTAAACAAGTATTCTGTATGCATATAAATTTAAAACAGCTTAAGAGAATCAGAGTTGTATTTTCAATATATGGGTTACAAGATTACAAAAAAATGATTTCCTATTTAATCTTTTAAAACAGAGATGGTAGAAATAAGAGGTCAGATTTTATAAAAGAAAATGATTTCTTTTAACAAAGAGAAACATCTCTTCAGAACTAGTCATAGGATATCAGGTTATTTCAAAAGTCCTTTAACTCAAGGCTTTCTGCTTATTCCATTTTCATGAAGTGCTATCACTTCACAAGTGCTATTTTAACAAATGTTAGCAAACATAATTTTAACAAAATAAAAATGCATAATAACACAAAGAATGACAGAGTTAAAGAACTATCATGTAATCGGCAAGATGACAATACACAGTGAAAATTAATTCCAAGTTAATAGTTTTGAGGGTGGGGGTTGAAAATAACCCCTAAGGGGCTTCCCTGGTGGCACAGTGGTTAAGAATCCGCCTGCCAATGCAGGGGACACAGGTTCGAGCCCTGGTCCGGGAAGATCCCACATGCCACGGAGCAACTGAGCCCGTGTGCCACAACTACTGAGCCTGCACTCTACAGCCTGTGAGCCACCACTACTGAGCCTGCGTGCCACAACTACTGAAGCCTGCACTGCAACAAAGAGTAACCCCTGCTTGCCGCAACTGGAGAAAGTCCACGCACAGCAACAAAGACCCGATGCAGCCAAAAAAAAAAAAAAAAAAAGAAAAGAAAAGAAAAGAAAATGACCCCTCACAAGTCATCTAGCCCAACATGTTTGTTTTTCAAATGAAGACCTGCATTAACTTCTCACCTTTTCTGTGTTAATGATGGCACACCACTTAAACATAAGTTTATCTCCTCCATTATGCACTTTTCCATACCTGCATGTGCAATTTAGAGTGCAATTATAAGGAGAAACATTTGATTTTTCATGCGTAATTTTACACAAAACCTCCTATTACGGGCAATCACAAAACTAAGAATGAAGTATGATAAGCCAAAGTATTTTGTAACCATTACCAATGAACGCCAAAATACTTCTTAGTAGTTACTTGGGAAAGGTTAAAAAAAAAAAACACCACCACATTAATGGCTTTTACAGGCTACTTGGCACAATATTTGAGGGAAAAAAATTATAAGAAAGTATTACACATATAGGCTTTTATTCTCTTGTTATCAACCATTTCTCTTATTTTTCATTACATTATGTCTGGCTTTATTTCTTCTTAGCTTGTAAAAGTGGATGGCTGGAGAACATTTACAGACAAGTAAAAATGTGGCAAGGCTTAAGTGATGAGAATTCTACCATTTCTGTAAACTCTTATTAAAGCTTTAGTGTTTCTATGATATACTACTACAGTACTTTGAATTTATATAGCACCTGTCTGCTGAAGAACCAAGGCTTACATAGCTCATTTATCCTTTCAGCATGCCTGTGAAATACACAGATTGAAAACAGATGGCTTACAAATAAAGTAAAATCCAGATATGAAAACAGAGAACTTCCATGATTTACTGAAGATGGCCTGTCTGTGCAAACTGTAGTAGCCTAAAAGATCCTGGAGTCCACACTCAATGCCTTTTCCAATAAACAACACTACCTCCTTATCATCAAACAAATTTCTAGACCGTTAAGAGAAATTAAGCTTTGTCATAATATAAAATCAGTAAGTTTAATGTGCCAAAAATCCTTGATAAGGAATGATATAAATGGTACCTCTATATTTTAAAGAAATAATATTAGTCACGGAATAAGCCACTGGTGACCGGAGAGTCACCAATTTGCCTACAAGGTATTTAGCTTGGTTCAATATAATTGCATTAAAATTGGGAAAAAAATCAACTGATAAATATAACTGAAATAAGCCAGACTATATCTATATAAAAGATATATCTTATAAAAGAAAAAAAAATCCCAGCAAACCAAAATCCTTGAGCCATGCCCTCATTTTATAATTGAGAAAATGCATGGTGTCTGGCACACGTATGTACTCAATGTTAATTATCAATATAATAATCTGAAGTGACTTTCTCAAGGTCAAACTATGAGTCAGTGGCAGAGCCATGTCTAGAATCTAGTTCTTCTGAAGCAAGTCCAACATACGTCCCCCTTAGCATTGTAATTTTCATTTAACAGCAATGCTTTTTCATCCCTAAAACAGTTTATACTCACCAATATTTATCTTTCAAGTGCTAAGAATAGAGCAAATTCAATGTTATTAAGCATATTGAATTTTTGGAAACTGTCTCACCTCCATAACTACCATTGGCCCAAGTATTATCAGATCTTCTCCTGAGACTGACATTTCATGATCAGACAGTTTTTTATATTTCTAGGCCATAATTTTAGCCAAAGCTCTCATCACTAAAAACAGCTAGTCGTGACCACTGGTATCTAAAAGACCTTCCAACAGTATAATGTATCCAAAAAACTTTTGAAACCTCCAACACAATGAACATACATCATATGGTGTGTCACTCTCTAGAATAATTACAGACTCAAAACATGATCTAGCTGTTTTCTTCTAAACTGAGTTTTATTATTTTCACAGATTAAACTTTCCCCCTCTGGATTACTTTTCACCAAAAGAGCATGAGCAAGTACAAAATGATTCCAAAAACAGTTACCCAAGTTTTCATGTATTGATAGATGTTCATTTTCAATTTTATACCAGCTACTTTTGGAATCTGTACTAAACAGCAAAAACAAACAGTTTGGCATATTCATTCCACCTAGATTATAGCAATAGCAAATTCATGAATTTATCTTATGTGCTAAGAATATTATGTCAGTAAATTTCTTGGAAAGGCAAGTAGAAATGCTTAAAACAGAATATGGAAAAATGGCAAGTGAATTTTCTTCCTTTTGTCATCAGTTTCACCATACAGAATCTCCTTAGTGCTCAGGCACCACTACCAAGTTACTACCCCCTTCTTTTCTGTAACAGTCACGCTGTTTGCCTAGGAGCAAAATTTCATGGGGTTCCTAATAGTGCCCTGGATATTGACATTCTGCCAGTATAAACAGTCACAGTCAAGTCTAATGTGCTTGTAACCATTGGTAGAAGAGACTTAATCTCAACCCAAATATTACTCACTAGTTATAATTAATCCTTCTACCCAAAATGCATCGAGCCTAGACATTTTTAGCAATTGACTCTAAATGATGGCATCAGACTAGACTAGAGACCTTGGACCTCAGTGTTGATTGTCTGTGTTAAATCAAGGCAGAGCATAATTTATTTGGCTCTCCCACCCCAGGTAAAGAGTCTGATAACTTTCTAGATCTAATTGTAGAAACTAAGAATTAGACTCATAATCCTCTAATTTTAATGAAAGCCTGGGTTCATTAGATCATATGACTAAAAAATGAAGTCAGTAGTTGTAAATGAGTGGACACACCGAGACAATGAAAGACTGGTTGGAGAGCCTAGAGAGGATCCTGTTTTGACATGAGTTAATACTATTTTAAAAAGAACTTATCTCCCTACCACTTTAACCTAGTTGGATAGTTGTGCTCTTCTTTTTTTAAGGTTAAATATTTGTTAGGAGTTCCATCTAAAATTATATTATCACCTCTCTTCCACTAGGGGGGTCTATCTCCCAGTGTAGTTAACTCCAATTAACTCAGGTGCAGTTTGAGTCCACTTCCAGCTAATCTGTGCCGCAAGGCTAGCCTTGTGGTCAGAACTATGTGCTTTAAAGTTGTTCTAGTTTTTAGGCTCAGAAACCCATGCACAGCATGAAAATGTAGTGCTCAAGTCATTCAGAGGTTGCTGCAGTAAGGAGACAAGGATTTTTGACTGAAGCATACAAAGCCAAAATCTCTTAAATATTCCCAGTTTCATTTTTAGCTGCCCTAGTTGTTTTCAGACTGAATACGTATCAACTGGATCCATTTTTGTAAATAAGTAAAGCTTTTAAACTCTCAACCTCAGAGATTCCTCTGCCCATTTCTACACTCTGCAATATATGATCTGAATAGCAAAAACTGCCATGTTTTTCCAACAGCAACCTTAACTTGGGCTACTTGGGTGGGTATTGGTCATTATGGGAGTTGTTTCTGTGGCCTCTCATTATTCTACTAAAGTACTGACAGGTAAAAACCCAACTAGCTCGATTTCTTAAATTTAGTGTCCACTGTTTCCCTGCCTGATTTCTGATCCAATTAATTCCAAACCACAATAACTGATGGTTAATTTTAGCCAAGAGATTATCCACCACCTTCAAGCAGATGCCTAATATAGAGAACAGTTCAACTGGAATATAGGCCAGACCCAGGGACATGGACAAAGCCTAATTTTTTAAAAAACACTATCTTATGGGATATGGCTTCAAATCTATCATTTAGGAATGAAATAGGGCATGAATAAATGGACGATTTTTCTAGAAAATAATTAGTAAGATATTTTTAAAATTTAGAAAAGCCATAACTAGATTGAAGGGCCACAGGGGAGATATATATCCCAGCACAAACATATTTCAAGCACTTATTTTAAAAACAGCTTCCGTTTTTTATTTTGGATAAAATCTGAGCATCCAATTTCCCTTTCTGTTCCCCTCATCCAAATCCAAGTAGAACTCCCTTGAGTAGAGGCTAGTTCACACCGCCCCCTCCCCTTTTTTGTCACGGTAGTTTTGGGAAAATGAACTTCAGCCATTACATTCCAGTTTTAAAGTCAAAAGAAGTCATGTGACCATTACCCTAGGGGCATCAGAGACTTGGGGCACGTGATGCCAATTGACATATGTGGGGCTTCGGCCACTATGTTGGAATTCACTGTAAATTGGATCTTCAGGATCAAGTTTAAGCTCCCAAATACACTGTGACATCCTGTAAAGTGGAGTGTGCGCTTACGTCTCAGTAGTTTTTAATTTCACCTAGGTTTTCTACCTACTGTGCAGTCAGCCAGGCTCTCTTCCCCACCCCCCATCCCTGGTAACAGGTCGGGCACCCCGAGCATCCCGTCTATCTGATCCTAAACGGCGAGGCTCTCCAACCCAGTTAGTTCTAAACTCAACCTTGAGTACCACCCGGCATGTTGTGCAGATAGGGTGTGGAGCAAGAATTTGCGTCGCGTACAGGAAACGTCAGAAAGCATTAAGCCCACTCCACCTCCCAGGTTGGGATCTTCTGCCCTGGAGCCTGGTCGTCGGAGCCGCCAGCACATTAGAGCAAGTAGCAGCAGCGGCGGCGGCAACTCTGGGACTGGCGAGAAGCCCGGGCGGGGGTGGTCGGCGTCCCCCGGCCTCTCATTAGACCGCTAAGTACTGCGAGTCGGGAAATGTAAACACCGGCAAGTGCAGCTCTGTGGGAGGAGGGGATGTTGCCCTCGCCCCCCGCCCCTTCGGCTCTGCCTCCAGAGGAGCCCCGGGAGGTGCCGGGCGGCCGCTGCCCCGACCACGCGCTCGAGGCTGCAGAGCCAAAGGAGCTGAGAAGGGAGCAGACGGGCGGCTCGGGATCTGAGGAGAGGAGAACGGAAAGGTACTGCCCTAATGGCCCGGAGATGTCCTGCTACAGAAAGGAAAAAAGTGCTTACTCATAGGGAGACGCGGTGCGATAGCGATTCGCTCGCTAATGGTAAGGGAAGCAGGCGGCAGGCAGGCAACCGGAGCCTCGTTCCTTCCCTGGGCCACCGCACCCCGTGGAGCCCGGGGGCCGGGGTGAGCCCGTGAGGTCACCCGAGGAGGGCGAGCGGGGGCTGGAGGCGTCGCCGGCGACCGGCTCCGGGATTTCCTGAGTCCGGAGCCGGCGGAGGAGGGGGGGAGGAGGGTGGCAGTAGCTGAAGAAGGACGACAGAGGGAAGTTAGGCGCTTGGTTTCCACTTCGGGGCCGCCGCCACGGAAGGGGAGAAGGGCAAGGGCTGGCGTCAAGGACTCCAGCCCAAGTTTGGCAACAAGTTAAGAGCAACTAGTGAGAAAGCACCATCTCTCCAGTGAAAAGCAGAAAACGTGTTTGCGGCGGGCGGTGGTCGTGGGGAACACTCGGTCACTCCCACCCGTTCTTGATGCGAACGACCGCTTTGGCGCCCAAGGTCTAGGACAGAAATTTCTGCAGCCTCCCTCTCAGTCCCCCGCCTCCCGTGCCAGGCACGTTCCTGCCGAGGTTCCCGGAGATGCTCTCTCCTGGACCCACTCATGCCCACGCCCAGGGATCCCGCTCCCCTAGTGCCCTCCCTCGCCTGCAGAGCACTTACATAAAGTCGCAGAGTACCAGATCTGGCCAGACAGCCTCCAACCGACGCACTCAGACAACTTCTGCCGCTCGGAATTTTTGCGGCTGTGGTTCTAAAGCCAGCGCTCCCTCCCCTCCTGCCAGCCCCCTCCGCCCCTCGGCCGCCGCCATTGGCTCCGGTGGTGCTAGCAGTCAGCTGGGAACCAGGAAGGGGATTGGGCCACGAGCCTGTCACATCAACTGGGTGGGGAGTTGGGAGAATAGGCACCGGGATGGGCGCCCTGGAGGGATGGGGACTAACTCTGCGGCTGGGAGCGGAGATTGGTCCTCCGCTCTTGTTACTTCCCCTCCCTGGCTATGAAGAGATTAGAAGTCCTCAGAGCCTGGCTCGGGGACCACGTTCCAAAAAATCGTATGGAATAAACGAAGAGATGAGAATGTTGGAGCGAGAGTTTGAACGTCACCAAGCCCCTATTTAAGTCTCTGGAGAGTACAGTTTCAACACAGAATCGTAAAGAGAATCTCAGCATGGGAAGGGACTAGTAATACTAGTACTTAGTTTCTTCTGCTCCAATCAGCCTGCGTGCGGAACAACGCAGAGGGAAAACCTCAGCAATCTTCCCTTTCCAGCGAGGTCTAGGGAGCAGATATATGGACAGGACGAGGCTCTCATGTTTTTGGCTTCGTGCCCAAGTAAATTGTTGACCCAAATCACCTGTCTGGTCTGTTTGTCCATGCGGAAAGGAATGAGAAGTGGAGGTGGGAAGGGAAGGTGGAAATAACGTGGTTCCCACTCGTTTGACTGGAAATGGATGTCAATTTTCATCAGTCTCCTTTCACCAGAGAAAACTTGGAGACATGCTCCTGGTTCCCAGAGGACCCTTTCTTCTTCTTGGCCTCTGTGTCATAATTGACCTCTTTCATTAATACACGTGGAGGTTTCCCCTCCTTATTGTGCATTCCAATCCTTTGGCTCACTCCAGGTCCAAAATCAGCTCCAAGGACCAGAGTTTGATGGATTCTCCAGGGTCAGGTCAAGAGCTTGTGGCACAGCTGTAGAAGAGAAAGGCTAAGCCCTTTCCTGTTTCAGTCACAACCATTTTGTTCAGGAAATGTGTGCTTGGAAAGTTTTTTAAGAATTAAAAATTGGTTCACTTACTTCTCATTTTATATTCACTACGAAAATTGCTAAATTAAGAGTGGCCTGGGACTTCCCTGGCAGTCCAGTGGTTAAGACTTCCAATGCAGGAGGTATGTGTTCCATTCCTGGTCAGGGAACTAAGATCCCGCATGCCTCAGGGCGCGGCCAAAAAAAAAGAGTGGCCTGAAAATCGAATGATCTTGTCAAGGAACCCTCACTTCATCTGCTATTATGAATTTCCTTAGAGAAATTAACCTATAGTGAGTGCTGGCGCTTCTTGAATGGGCAGAAGAGGGGAGTTCATATACTGCCTAAAGGCTACACTAGCAGAGAAGGAATTGGCACTGGGAAAAAGGCTCATTAAATATTAATTAATGATTAACCAACTGGAAGAACATATGAAAGGCACAGAAAGGTGAAAAAGAAATGAGAGAGCAATCTGGCTATCGGAAATATTAAATTTCTGGTATGAGAGATTTTGTATTGGGTCAGGTTTGGGTCAGCACAAAAATACTGATTTCAACATGTTCGTGTTGTGTGGACTGTGAAGTGTACCGCCACACACATTTACGAGAGGATCCACAGTGAGATTTCTGGCTTTCAGTAATTGGCCCAAGGTTTGGTATGGTTTCTGGAATTCTTTACACAAAATTTCTAGATACACTAATACAGTACTTCAGTTTTCTACATTTTATGGCGTCTGTTAAGTCACCACTGAAGAGCTTCCACCTGCTTTAAAACTTAAATTTACAGACTTAGAATGTCTGTATGAAGGGACTGTGCAAGCTAAATTTTTGAGTATGGATATATTTGTCTCAATTACTTAACTTAGTATTCTATTTTAGTTTATTTTTCAAGTGTTAGAATTTAGAATAAGTCAAAATAGTAAGAATCCTATGCATATGCTATTTACACTTTCCTGTTTTTTTCTTTTCAAAAAAGCTTACATAGAAGCTTTACTTTATTTACTAACACTGATGTCAGAATTCAGTAAGAGTTTGTGGTCAAGAAATGTCACTTTAATGGAAGTACAGTGGTCACAGTTTCAAAGCCACAGGGTGCCCAGGTAATGGCACTGTGTCTCAGTGCCTCGGTAGTTTCCAACAGATAAAACTTGCCCTATTTGGATGCTGGTTGAGATTCCTGTTTAACAAGCTCAACAAAGTAGAACTCCATTTTAATGAATACTGCTATGATAGCCATCTTGATGTAACTAAGCTACTTTCGTGTTACGCAAAATCTAAAAGTCCTTTTCAGAGGCTAACATTTTGCTCTAAGAAAGGAGCCTCAGACTCAAAGCTCTATTCAAACTGCATTTCTTTCTGATCTATCACACCATCAATTTAAGCCATATAGGATCATTCACAAAGTAACCCAAAGTTGGTAGTTTTCCTATCTATATAAAGAGGCTTGCAGGGACTTCCCTGGTGGTCCAGTGGGTAGGACTCTGCGCTCCCAACGCAGGGGACCCGGTTTGATCCCTGGTAGGGGAACTGGATCCTGCATGTATGCCACAGCTAGGAGTTTACATGCCGCAACTAAGAAGGCTGCCTGCAGCAACTAAAAGATCCTGTATGCCAGAACTAAAAGATCCCACGTGCCTCAACTAAGACCCGGCGCAGCTAAAATAAATAAATAAATATTTTTAAAAAAAGAGACTTGCACAGCTGGTCTTCAGGGTTCCTTTCAGAAGCTCAAAGGCAGATCATAGGGCCTAATTCATCTTTTAAAAACTGAGTTATAATTAACATACAATATTATATTAGTTTCACGTGTACATGTTGACTTGATACTTTTATATGAGATGATCATCACAATAAGTCCACTTACCATCAATCACTATACAAGTTGTTATAATATTATTGACTATATTCCGTACGTGTACATTACATTCCTGTGACATTTATTTTATAGCTGGAAGTTTGTACCTTTTATTCCCCTTCACCTATTTCACTCATTCCCCCATGCCTCCTCCATTCTGGCAACTACCAGTTTGTTCTCTGTATCTCTGAGTCTGTTTCTGTTTTGTTTTGTTTGATCGTTTGTTCTGCTTTTTAGATTCCACATATAAGTGAAGTCATACGGTATTTGTTTTTCTCTATCTGGCTTATTTCTCTTAGCATAATACCCTCCAGGTCCATCCATGTTGCCACAGATGGCAAGATTTCACTCTTCTTTATGGCTGAGTAATATTCCACTGTATGTACGTACATCACATCTTCTTTATCCATCCCTCTATTAATGGGTACTTGGGTTGCTTCCATATCTTGGCTATTGTAAATAATGCTGCAGTAAACATAGGAATGCATATATCTTTTCAAATTAGTGTTTTTGTTTTCTTTGGATAAATACCCAGAAGTGGAATTGCTGGATTGTATGTTAGTTCTATTTTTAGCTTTTTGAGGCACCTCCATACTGTTCTCCATAGTGGCTGTATCAATTTACATTCCCACCAACAGTGCAAGAGGGTTCCCTTTTCTCCACACCCTCTCCAGCATTTATTGTTTCTAGATTTTTTGATGATGGCCATTCTGACTGGTGTGAGGTGATACCTCACTGTAGTTTTGATTTGCATTTCTCTAATGATTAGTGATGTTGAGCATTCTTTCATGTGTTTGTTGACAATCTGTATATCTTCTTTGGAGAAATGTCTATTTAGGTCCTCTGCTCATTTTTGGATTGGGTTGTTTGTTTTTTTGATATTGAGCTGCATGAGCTGCTTGTATATTTTGGAGATTAATCCTTTGCCAGTTGCTTCATTTGCAAATATTTTCTCCCATTCTGAGGGTTGTCCTTTCATCTTTTTTATGGTTTCCTTTGCTATGCAAAAGCTTTTAAGTTTCATTAGGTCCCATTTGTTTATTTTTATTTCCATTTCTCTAGGAGGTGGGTCAAAAAGGATCTTGCTGTGATTTATGTCATAGAGTGCTCTGCCTAGGTTTTCCTCTAAGAGTTTTATAGTGTCTGGCCTTACATTTAGGTCTTTAATCTATTTTGAGTTTATTTTTGTGTATGGTGTTAGGGAGTGTTCTAATTTCATTCTTTTACATGTAGCTGTCCAGTTTTCCCAGCACCACTTATTGAAGAGGTTGTCTTTTCTCCATTGTATATTCTTGCCTCCTTTATCAAAGATAAGGTGACCATATGTGTGTGGGTTTATCTCTGGGCTTTCTACCCTGTTCCATTGATCTATATTTCTGTTTTTGTGCCAGTACCATATTGTTTTGATTACTGTAGCTTTGTAGTATAGTCTGAAGTCCGGGAGCCTGATTACTCCAGCTCCATTTTTCTTTCTCAAGATTGTTTTGGCTATTTGGGGTCTTTTATGTTTCCATACAAACTGTGCAATTTTTTGTTCTAGTTCTGTGAAAAATGCCATTGGTAGTTTGATAGGGATTGCATTGAATCTGTAGATTGCTTTGGGTAGTATAGCTAGTCATTTTCACAATGTTGATTCTTCCAATCCAAGAACATGGTATATCTCTCCATCTGTTTGTATCATCTTTAATTTCTTTCATCAGTGTCTTATAGTTTTCTGCATACAGGTCTTTTGTCTCCTTAGGTAGGTTTATTCCTAGGTATTTTATTCTTTAATTGCAATGGTAAATGGGAGTGTTTCCTTAATTTCTCTTTCAGATTTTTTATCATTAGTGTATAGGAATGCAAGAGATTTCTGTGCATTAATTTTGTGTCCTGCTACTCTACCAAATTCATTGATTAGCTCTAGAAGTTTTCTGGTAGCATCTTTAGAATTCTCTATGTATAGTATCATGTCATCTGCAAACGGTGACAGTTTTACTTCTTCTTTTCTGATTTGGATTCCTTTTATTTCTTTTTCTTCTCTGATTGCTGTGGCTAAAACTTCCAAAACTATGTTGAATAATAGTTAGCCTATTATTCTTGATTGTTTGATTCTCAAATATGTTAGGCCAGATTTTAGTGAATTTAAAAGTGTCTGTGTGCATAAGAGCATGTTTGTGTGTGTGTGTGTGTGTGTGTGTGTGTGTGAGAGAGAGAGAGAGAGAGAGACTATAATATGAATTTTAAATGCTATTAGTATTTGAACGCAGATGGATGGATCAAGAGACTGAAAAAGGAGCTTTCACCACATAGGTCATTGGTTAAATACCATAAATATTTGAGTCTGTGTCTACTAAACAAACAAAATGTGACTTTAAAAAGAGATTGACAGAGTTATAACATAGATGAACTTTGAAAATATTATGCTAAGTGAAAGGAGCCAGTTACAAAAGACCACATATTGTATGATTCTATTTA